AACTGTGCTGACACACTATTAAAAATTGGCGCTGGGCGGTTGGAAACGGATGCCGAGAGCTGCGTTAAATTGACGAGAGATTTTTGTAATTTAGTACAGAGTCATTCGGAATTGATTGCGAGCGTTTATTTAGATTTAACGAACAACATGCATGAAGACAAATGGTTATGTGAAAGGGCGATTCTTGCACCAAAAAATGAGAGCGTTAACAAAATAAATTCAGATGTATTAAGCGAAGTAGCAGGAGAAATAACAGAGTATTTGTCAGTAGACACAGTTATGGACACTGAACAGAGCACTTCATATCGCGTAGAATTTCTAAATTCTCTAGAGTTGTCAGGTGTGTATTATCGTCCTTTAATATTTATCATCATTTTTCTCAGAATTTTAAATTAGACAGATAAATAGGCGATTGTAGTTCAAGACTCCTCTTAGTTTTTGTTCCTCGTCACAGGTTTGGTTAATTTTGTTATGGCAATTTTCGAGACGATTATTTTAAAAAATAAAGACATGTTCTGAGATTGACTCATGAAACATTCGATCGATTCATCAATCGTACGAACCTAAGAATCGATTCGTTGAACTTTGAGAACTCTCTCAGCGACATGGAGTCATTTTATATTTAGCTTATTTTAAAAAAACGGATATGTTTTCGACCTAATCGTGCTGCAGCGTGGCTATCTACTAGCTACCATCGTTTGAAACGTTACAAATATTGTCATAATAAAAGAAAAAAAAACATAACTACTTGCGAAGTGCTTGCCACCCTTTATGTATTCAAATATTCAAAGTTGCCACCGTTTTACCAGAGTAATAAAATCACACTGTAAACCTATTTGAAATTCATTACGGTGGTTAATTATATAAATTATTGTGGTTATCAAACTCGCGTTAATAATATATCATTCATTCATTCTTTTTTTTTCTGAAAGTGTATGCTAATGGACCTGCGGCCTTTACAGCTTTATCGAAATAAACTCGTGAGTGAGAACCCACAAGCTATTGAGTGCACGATTCGCCGACTACAATTCCGAGGCACCCTAGCCTGTGCTTTCGGAGTAAGGCTCCTCTAGCTAGGGTGATTCAAGGGCCCTCTGGAGGAGGAATGAACTTCGGCTTGAACCACTATCATAATAAGGGGAATCATTAATTCAAATCTCTTTACCATTGTATATATCTTACCGTTTCAACCTTTCAAAGGTCCACTGTTGAAATTAGTTCGCTCCATATATTGTCTCAAATCACATGTCATACTTGACATAGTTGCCACACTTGGCAAGCGGGTTGGCCACTTTTTTATTTGTTTTTAAGAAGACGCTACTGCCCATCTCATGGTTTTTTCCCTCTGTCGCCTATTACGACACCTACTCTCTACAGTCTACACGGTCGATATATCAATCAAATATACGCGTATATCTTATATTTTTTTCTATAAAAGAATATTAACAATGCTATAAACATTACTAATATTCCCCTTAAACAATCATGGTAAGCTTAAATTGCTTGTGTTACGAGTGGTTCACGCCAGTAGTCGAATAGCGGATTCGAACCCACGACCTTTTTGAGTTCGCGGTCCGCGCCCTGCCATTAGGCTACTGTCGCTTCAAATGTGTTAAATTGTTATGTGTTATGTGGTTAAATTGAAGGCAGGTAGTGACTTATATAGGTTTTTTTTATTTAACTGGCTTTACGGCTCTGGGTACTAGCTCTTCTGAGCCTATCATTTCATTCAGAATCCACATTTTATATATTTTTTCTTCACAAAATACTGATGCGTCATATTGCGAAGTTTTTGGGAGATTTTCACGATAGCTCAACCCAGCGGACTGTTGATGACGACAGCCACTCAAGTTCATAAGGCGCCCAAGCGATCAAATTAACTTGAGGTTTATATCAACATCAAAGCACTTGTTACGTCGTTTTTTCTAATAGTTCACACGCGCAGACAATTCACAAAATCACATCACATTTACGAATTAAAATCCACTTCAAACCATTATTCAAACGACAAAACAGGAGCGACAGTCCGTCGTCGGCCAAGTTCCCGCCAAAACTTCGATTTATATAGGTACTATTTGGTTAAGATAGATAATTATATAAGAAACAATGATTAATATAGTACACCATGATTAAAAAACCAGCCAATTTTCTTAAGATCAACTATTCGGCAAACAAGCCTTATTTTTAATCTATTCTTACTTCCGCAGCCAAATAGCAATGCCTGCACTGCTGTGAAGCAGTCTGAAGTGTACAGAGAGTAAGTATATTTACAACCTTTGATCCATGCATCTTAGTACTTAGAGATCAACGCATCTGTAGCCTTTGTTGTTTGAAGTTACACAACCGACACATGCTCATAAGTCGAGAGAGTCACTTCTACAAAATCAAGTGGACCGTAAGTTTTTTTTTAAATGTAAGGAATATTTAACCGTCTGTTGATGGCACAGAAACGGCCAATGTTTGGGATTGCATATTACGTTAATACAACGTATTAACAATTTTTTACACAACGGTAAATATACCGTTGTGTAAAAAATCGTTAACACAACGTGGTTATTGTTTCTCGTAAAATGTAACAATTTATTAAGCTATTGCATAGCTTCTATCGCGGGCCTTGAGTGCGGGAAAATCCAGAAATTCCGTAACGAAAAAACCTCACGCTCTCCCCACTCCGACGGGCACGGAGGTGTGGCTTGAAGGCCGTGCATTGTCTAACGATGGTCTAACGTCGTTTCTTTTCCTCAGTCTTCGACACGGTGTTTGTGTATAAAGTGTTTTGAAATTTTGAATATGAATGAACAAAGTGCATTTATTATTAATGAAGAAAGTCACGAAAAAATAGTGAAAGAAAATGAGTGAGTACTCTATATACATATCTACATTTTATTATTATCACAAATGTAGTACTAATTTTGAATTGAAAATATAATACTGCTATAATGATAACCTAAATTTTTGATATTAAAATGAGCGATATTAAAAGTAGCCCTCTTTATATACACACAAACACACAGACGCGTATATTTTAAATTCTCAATTTAGATTCTCAATATGTATATACTCGATTAACCGGACTAATTGTTGCCGTTAGGGATTCGGATAATCGAAAATCCGGATGATCGAATGTATGAAGAAAAGCGGGTTTTGTGCATTTGTAGTACATATGTACATACATAATGTTATGTGTTTATTAAAAACAACAATTTCAACGAAAATCAATGTTTATTAAGAAATTATTATTTTTTAATAAAAATTGATTAAATTCCATGAAGAGATATAAATCTATATAACCATCCGTTACTTGCGACAAACGATCCACCGTCACCTAATTTTTATTTAACTGTAATGCTTTTTCACAAAGCAAAGGGCCAGATATCATTTGCCCAGTTGATCGTTTTTGTAAAAACCAACAATACAAAGCGTCTTCTAATTGCCAATTTACTCGCGGACATAGGTCCTTATGTCCGGGACGGGGGTTTGTTAGCGTCTGATAGTAGATCGTCTTATCTCAAGCGGTGTGAAGCGACGATTAGTGAGGTGCGGGAGGGGGAAGCTAGCTGCATTTGTGCGTGCGGTCGGTCACCCCTGTTGGCATCGAGCCGAGCTAGGGAGCAGACGGCGGGGGCCGGGCTGCACCCGGCCCGCCGCTAGGGCGCGCTCCTAGCTAGGCACGCGGCGCCTGCGCCGATGACGTTCTCCGGTCGCATTATAGGGGTCGCGAGAGTTTTTGCGCGAAGCCGGGTTGTTCATATATTGAAAGTCTCCTTGTTTTGTCTTAGACTTATGTTAATAGAGCGTGCCATTTGAACTTAAAGACAATTAATTGGACAATAAATTATAAGTGACAAATCTTGCCGTGGAGCGTGGAACTGAGTAGTTGCGCGTCTTGTTAATATAATTGCCGTACGGCCACCCTGACGTATGTACTGCGCGAACCTGAGTTTTTTTATTTAATAAAAGAAAAAAATTGTTTTCTTATCGGTCACCACGCTCAAAAAGTGTAACTTGAATTAATATCAAAGAAAAAGAAATACTGCATAAATAAAATAAATAAATAATTATAATTGCATAAGTTGATACAAAATGCTATGCAATAGCTTTACCGCGGCAGTCCCCGAGTGCCACACGTCTTTTTTTATTAAAAAATCTAAAGCAACAAACAACATATCGTCGCGGTATACGCAATAGGTCGAATGTGAGCTAGGTACGACTTTACAGGAAGGACTAAAAACTGTTTTTTTATTTTTATGTTAGTTAAATATGATTTGTGATAATGTATTTAGTACTAAAATTGGATGTTACATTATAAAATATTACAATGGTGGTTATTGATTTAACAGTTTTTGTGAAAAGTTGACATAGGGCATATTGCGTCTGTATTTTTACCCATTTTGATCACATAGGCACAATTGATTTCAGTATAGAAACAAGAAAAAAACATGTAGGTATTAAAGTTTTTATTTATTAGATAAGATCATATTTATTTGTGAACTAAATTCTCATAGAATTGACGATAATCTTGTGGAATCAATTCTTTTAGTTCTTGCAAGTGGGTGTATTTTGAAGCTTCAATTGGAATTGGCCCTGTGTACAGTTTGGGATGGTCTGGCAATGATTCTAAACGTTTCGGTCATACAGGCAATTCAGCCCATTCGTCTTGAAAGCGCAGTTTGTAATGAATAATTCCATTAGGTGTATACTGAAACGCAACCACATCGTTAACACAGGGATCGCCAATTTTGTTGCCAGGGCGGATACTTTTGTAGTATACTGCCTGAAAAGCGTAAAAATCATCACTACTACAGTAAATTGTCTCATAGGGACGCGGACGTTGTCTTGCAGATTGAATTATAGGAATGTAGTCTGCAGGTGTATAGATTTCTCTCCGATTGCGCAATTTCTGCTCAATAGTAGAATGAATGGAGTCCACTTCCATGATTCCTTCCAAATATTTTTGTTCTATTATTACTTTTGTTTTAATGCTCAATTCAAGTAGTGCATTAAATAGTTTGATATTTCGGTTCTGATATCCACACCCAACACTCCAAATAGTAATTTTTTTCGAGACGTTTTTTTTCTATTGCCTTTTTTAAAAAGTCTGTATAAATGGATGCAAATACATCACTTTCAATCCCTGCCACTGCTTCGTGCCAAACATAGCATACGGCATCTTTAGTACTTAAGTCGAAGAAGGTCTCATTGTGGACCTTCAACTTAGTCTTATAGTAATTTGCACTTGCATTTAGTCTTGGAGCTAATAGCACAGCCTGTAGATCTACGGTATAGGTTGCAGTATTAGGACAATTAATGCATCGTTCTTTGTCTTTCGATTTTTCTTCTCTTGCAGATAGTTTCTTTTGCTCATGTTTCTGGAATGTTTCTTCATCGCATATTCCTGTCTTATACAGTGTGCATGTATTACATTGATCCTTTTTGGGAATATAAAGGTCTAAGTTCATAAATTTCAAAGTATTGTAGAAGGTTTTCCAGGATGATGCAAGTTTGTTTTGTATTTGGCACTCATCTTTATAAAAGCGGTACATCTCTCTTAGACTAGACCACAAAGGCTCAACGTAGAGTTTATTGGATGATGCTCGACAATAATGGCTTTCTACTTTAGGTAGTGAATTCAGAAACTCCTCTACATTCTTAACCATGTTTGATTTTTGTCGTCGGACCGGCGCTTGATGATCTTCGTTTTCAAGGCTTGTACTGGGTTGGTCTGATAATGTCCATGAGCGTACCGTCTTCTCACCAATACTTAAAGTATTTATAAACATATTTCGGCATACACGTTTCTTCACATCGTCTCCATTTTCCTTCATACTTAAGTAGAATGTAAAGCCAGTGTTTTTTCTTGAAGTGGTAATATCAGTAGTCTTTCGTCTATACTTTGGACGTGCCCGCAATACACACCCAGTGACGTAAACTTTTTTTAGCCTCCCAAGATGACAGATTCCAAAAGTGTGAATGTATTGACTTTCGATCATCCTCACTAATCGTATCACATTTGAAATCTTGTTTTGGGCCTCCTTTAACTGTTGTCGGCTGTGGATGCCCATTACATCTTGGACCTAAGCATTTAGCTTCTTTTATTTTATTTTGCTTGTATTTACCACTTTTCTGTTTTCCAAACCCAACATAAGACTTTCCCTCTAATCTTAACTTAGCATTTTTAAATCTCTTCCACGCATTCGTGTTAACTTGACCTTTACGTTTTCTTGGTTTTGGTTGTTCTTGATCTGGAATATTTTTGTCTGTGTCCGATATCGGTTGCGACTGTTGTTGTGACGTTACATTAGCCACCTGGCCATCTTGAATTGAAATTTCAATGACTGATCCAACACAATCATCTGCTTGTACCTCTCTGTCATTCTCACTTTCAGGTGGGGCATATAATTCATCCGATCCTGAACTAAAATCAGTGTCTAATTGATTTTTCATGTTTTTATCGTGCCTTTCAGTTTCTACAGGATGGGTCTGTGTTGTATATTCCATTACAAACTCACCGGAGGGCGTAATCACCCCAATCTCGGGCGTTCTTTTGGCTTTGGAGGGATGTGTAAACCATTCTTGTTCTCTAATAATATGCTGTTCTACGATGAATTCTGCTGACGGTGATTGTACCTGAGCACCAGCTGTCACTTCAACATTTTTTTTCGTAGAGTCTTCCTGACTTAGGCTGTGCCAACTAACTGAGCTGGCTTGTTCTTCGCTGAATACACCAGTGCTAGTACTAATAGCTAGCTTCACCAAGCGACGGCTTCTAGCTCCTGACATAATAGGTTTGTTCTGTTATTAATCTTGCAACAAATAACATACTCATTTGTCAAAAATGCAATAGTTCCTATGTCAATACATATTACCAAAATACGATTATTGCAAAATCTCCTTTGTCAACCAAAATATACAAAAAGTTTAAATATATCTTACAAAAAAAGGTTAATCATAACATAAATCATATAAACCTAGTTATTTTTTTGAAAATAATTTGGAATCACAATCAATCAAGTATTATAAGCTCAAAAAAAGTGAGGTTAGTATTAAGTTTAAAATTTACTCCTTTGTTATGATTAAAAATAACACATATTATTACTGTCTGTTGGTTAAATTATATTGAAAAAAGAATGGATTACTTACACAACAAATTTATGAAGTTTAAATTCGTAAATTCACCTCTTGAACAACAAACTATGTCTCGCATCAGCGGAATGCAATGACATAGGACAATTTGCAGGAACCAAAATAAAGACGTCTTTCATTGGTCATATTGCAAATAATTCAAACGCTTGCTTCTGATTGGTCGGTAGACATAGGAGTTTCTACAAACGTTGTGGAAGCATGTTTTGGATGCTAACATGCCAAAAAAGAAAAATTGAATTTTTTTTCACATTCGACCTATTGCATGTAGCACGACGATATTTTCCACATTTGTGCACAGGTATCCTCTCGTTTCTGAGAGAGTTATCATAGAACTTATTACATAATATAGGTAATATAACAAATAATACTAGTAATAATTTTTTACAGTATTATTATGAATGAATACCGTGAAGCTATTAAAATAAATAAACACACTTCTAAAGAAATAGACACGTTAGCCCTACTCTATGAATACCTCTGTTTCGTGAGAGCAGTTTATAAATGAAACACAACATGAAAAACATTCAGGGCCGAAATCATTATTTGGAAAATTAATTACTAATTACTTGTTTCGTGCGGAATTCAAACCCGCGACTTTAACACTGCAACTCAATGGTAAGCCACTGTACCACGCAGCCGTCACTCCGTAAAAGTCCACTTCTGGGCTCACACATATGCACAAAGGTTAAAGAATCATGTTGTTGGTTGCAACTGATTATAGATGCATATGTGTGGGTAAGTGTTTTAGAAGTGGGTTATCTAACAATATGTTGAGTATGGTTTTGGCTTAGTTTCGGGCTTGAAACGTACCGACTATCTTCTTTGTTAGTCTAAAGCTAATAGTTCCTAAAGTCAGTCACGGAAAATAAATTATAGTGTTTTAATAGTAGGTCCTAAGCACCACGAAGGACGATAGCCACGGAAAGACAGCTGTATATCTTTTCCTTTTCAATCTGCCCATGACAGTCCATCGCTGGACATGAGCGTTTCTAATTGTAGCATAGTGAAAACAGAATAGTAGGCTATCTTTTAAGAAATTTACCGAACGTGGCTAATATGTGTGCGTGCCTGGCACGTGACAGACTAGTGTTGCCAAGAAAATGCGCTGAATATTTTTCGAAGAAAAGCGTTAAATTATAGTTAAAAAAGGTAATTATTATTTTTAATTAAATAACACGTAAAGACAATAATTATTTACAAATTTATTAGCAACTCTTCCTCATCGTCAGAATCTTGTTCTTTTTGAACAATTTCCTGGCTCTACTGCTGAGTAGATGTGGAAGGTCCTGCTTATACTGTAGTGGAATTTTGATAGTTTGAATGTGTAGATATCCTTGCTGCCTAATTTTTTGTCACTTTCATAATAAATCAATTCGAATTAAAAAATTCCAAGGCCGTTCTAATATATAAAATCGAGTGTATTAAGATTCATACGGTTTCGTAACTTTGATTTAATTACATTCATCGGACTGAAAATCCTTTCGGTGTCACCGTTCGAGTAGGGTAAAACCAAACCATGTAAATTCAAGTTATGCCAATTCTTGAAATGAATTAATACCGCCAGCATCTTTGTATCCTTTAATTTCTCACGAGTCTATTTCGATAAAGCTGTAAAGGCCGCAGGTCCATCACCATACACTTTCAGAAAAAAAAAGAATCAATGAATGATGTATTGTTGACGCGAGTTTGATAACCACAATAATTAATACAATTAACCACCGTAATAAATTTCAAATAGGTCTACAGTATGATTTATAACTCTAGTAAATCGGTGGCAACTTTGAATATTTGGATACTCAAAGGGTGGCAAAGACTTCGCAAGTAACTATGTTGTTTTACTTTTATTATGACAATATTTGTAACGTCTCAAACGATGGTAGCCAATAGATAGCCACGCTGCAGCACGATTAAACATATTCGTGTTTTTTAAAATAAGCTAAAAAGAAAATTCTCTCAGCGACTCCATGTTCTCAACGTTCAACGAATCGATTCTTAGGTTCCTACGATTGATGAATCGATCGAATGTTTCATGATTCAAGAGTCAATCTCAGAATAAGCCTTTAGTGGTATTCGATCGAATGTTTCATGATTCAAGAGTCAATCTCAGAATAAGCCTTTAGTGGTATTTTTTGAAATAACCGTCTCGAAAATAACCATAACAAAATTAACCAGACCTGTGACGAGGAACAAAAACTAAGAGGAGTCTTGAACTACGATCGCCTATTTACCAGTCTAATTAATAATTCTGAGAAAAATGATGACAAATATTAAAGGACGATAATAAAACTTATGCCCGTACTTAAAACACGACAAAGCTTCTCAGTGTTTCTCTTTATAAAACAATAACACTCAAAAGTGTGCACCCACCCGGGAATTACGAACATAAATCAGAAAAAAGCATTGTTTGTTTAACGGCAACTTTTTTCACCATATCGCGCTCTGTGATCCTCGATAAGGGTATTAAGAGAATAGAGTAAGTCAGCTCAAATTCTAATTTCGTCCCCACTTGCCCGCGCGTCGTATGCTATGTACCGACATGTTTGTAATCACTAATACTGTAAGTAGAAAGGTCGTTAGACACTTATTTCATTAGGTTTATCATATTTATGCCTGTTTCATAACGCCAAGCCAGCCGCTTCTTATTTTTATCACGGTTATTTCCCATTTTAATTTTACGTCGTACTGTTGCGTAATGTATATTCTGATCGTAAGCGACACAACCTCCCCCCTTCAAAGGCCGAGGCGAAGTGACCGTGCTGTAGGCATGTCGATCTAAAATCGATTAATCGAAAAATCGATTCTTTGGAGCAAAATAATTTTTTAGATCGATTCGGAGCACCGCATCGATTCACTGAATCGATCCAAAAACCTCTCGAATCGGACCGATTCATCTTATTCTAGAACCAGCGATAAAATTCCCAAACTGGCTGGGGTAAGATTCCGCAGTTTTTTAATTTTTTGCTGTTGGGGAACGCAAAAACAACCGATCTTACTTGGTTGATAATTTGAACGGAATATACAACACGTAACATAATTAACGCACTTTGAGAAAGTAGTTTGTTCAGAATTGTTTACTGAATCGATTCCTATCATTTTTAATATAGGTAGTTTTTTATCCCAAAAATAATTAAAACTACGTAAATTACAGTCACACTAAAACTGTACAGTCAAAACAAACTGAAATGGACCGTAATTAAAGGCAATAAGACTTATAAGAGTGTAGTTTTATTTGTATTATTACTAATTCTGTCATTAAATAAAAATAAAGAAAAGTGAACTTTATTTCAAGCACGTTAAATTCTTTGCGTTCGTGGATTTGTATTCTGACCACAACATTCTTCCGGAATTAGTTTAACTAATTTGAAAATAATCAGTGCATAAAAATGTTTAACTAAAAATTCAGTGTATGTATTATGTTTATAACATAATATCCTAATTCGGGTGTCTGAGGGTGTGCGTTAATTACGATACATATTGTATATTTGAATAAAATAAATATTTATGAACGCATCCAACAAAATCGAAAAGTTGTCATTTCATTTTCATTTCTAAATTTCTAATTCTATTCTTACCTGTGGAATGTTAGTCTAACTTAATCTGTGCTTTGAACAAAACTACATATACATACTACAATTTAATATTATAGCTGTGAACCTGTTTGAACTGTGAACTTGCGAATTTACTTTATTATCAAAAACATACATACTGTGAGCTGTAAGTACAGACGGAGTACTTTCTATATATCTAGACGCTCTAAATAAATATTATATGTTGAAGTTTATAGAAATTTATAGTAAGGAAATAACCATTATTGTATTCGTGTAGCATTCATTTCAATTTGATAAATAGTGAGTTAATAGCTTGAAACAGATTAATCGAGAAATGTACGTTGCAATTTGCCCCTTTTGTTAAAGTATTGTTGTTGTTTTTAGCCTAAAATGTCAAATAAAAGTGATACATGGAATCACTTTGTAAAAAAAGGGATCGAGTGGCGAACAACCCCTAAAACAAGCGTTTCAAGCTTACTAGGAGAGGTTAAAAGGAATATTAGTAATTTTAATTAATAAGATTACTAATATTTTAATTTCAAAAAATATTGAAGTTCAATTAAAGAAAATATCGCAAATTCTTAAAATTTCATGTTTGAAAGTGTCGCGATTAATCGAAAATCGATCTTTTAATCCTCGATTTAATCGATAATCGATTCTAGTATCTTCGATTCGAATCGATTCAGAGATCGATTTTTTTTAAGAGTGAATCGACATGCCTACCGTGCTGCAGGAATCACGCTTCAAAAGGCCGATAGTTTAGGTAATTTCTTTTTACAGTGAAAATAATGGTATTTTAAAAAAGTTAATAACATAAGCACTGCTTCATAGTTAGTTCAGTTAGTATGCAAAGTTTCATGATCTTATTTGAAGTATTTTATGAATAACAGCGGTTTATTTTTTATTATGGAGGTAACTTTGGATTTTTTTTCTATCGAGAAAATTTTACGAAATCGTGTTTTCGTCTAACATAATCCTTAACATTAATCCTCAACTTTACCATATATTTATTTCAAAATTAATGCTGCAATATTTTCGGCATAACGAAGGATCTTGCTAAGCCATTTGACATTATATTTCCCCTTAACC